GGGTAAACACGTGACCGGCTTAGACCAGGGCTTCCTCGTCTCTCTCCTCGTCCTCACACTGAAGCCCTGGGAACGAGGTTGATACTGGCTCAGACTTATAGTTGCACTTAATTTTAGATTGCTTGGAATTAGCAACGGTCTTTTCAATTATCGATCCAATGAAAGATTAAATTTGAAACTGCTTTAACTCCCCCATACAACATAAGACTATACAGACTACTTCCCCATACTTAAGCACACAATTATTTCATGTAGTTTATATCTTATTTTCTATAATGTTCACTTTCATGCATGCATGCCAATTGCTAAATGGCAATCATGAATATATTTCTTCATAAACTGAGTAAAAAAATAAGCTAAATTATGTCCGTTTCTCATGCAGTGACGTGCCTGCATATTGCAATATATAGCTGTATTGTACCTATACATTAGTACATGCAAGGTTCAAACCACTGCACCGAGAACCTATATAGATTTTTTCCTTGAATCAATATTTTGATGTATCGATTGACTCATATGACCTTGAACATGCATGTTTTATATATATATATATATATGACCTTGAACATGCATGTTTTATTTATATATATATATATATATATATATATATATATATATATATATATATATATATATATATATATATATATATATATATATATATATAATCAGGAAAAACAAGCTTGAATAAAATAATAGTTATAATTCTAGAACTTCACTGAGTTCACACTTCACAATCTAAGAAACCGCGGTCTGGTTAAGATTATGCATGATGAAGCAAAAATAAAACTATTATAGGCTTGAGTCCATTTTCCTGTCTGAATTTTCTGGTTCGGTTTTATTTTTCTTTGAACAGCTCTATAAACAACATTGATTGACCAGACTATGTATTACGTATACGAGATTCATATTAGTGACATTGAGTTATTTGAGTGTTTGTACAGTACGTTAACAGTCAAATGGCAGAACTAGCTGATTCTGTTCAGGCTTTCTCAGGTGTATAAACATTAAAACATACTGTATATATAATATATCGTCTGTCTCGTTCGATGAGTTTCCCACTTACTGACAAGTAATTGTTTTTCACTTTAGACGGAGAAGAATGACTTTTGCCATGTCAGAAATTGGAATCTATAGACTTGACCAACGGTTAGACATATATACTGATCATGAAAATTATGATTTTTAGTGTTCTTGATGACGCATGCATGAGTCCATAACATAAATCTAGTCAATGTCTTGTTCCCTGCAAGTCAGCTGAAGCGGATCATATAAATGTCTATTAAAGACAAAAGAAGAATCAATCATTTTGATGGTACTTAATTTAACATATTGTTTGCATATTATCTCCATATCAAATATACTTCTAGAATTGATTGACAACGGCTGGCTAGATTTGCGATGAGCTATACTCAATCTCAACAAGTCAACACATGGATATATTTCTATTTCTCATTTATTTTCATTCCATGCATCGCATGCATGAAAGTACTGGAAATGGGTTAAAAATTCAACTCTTCGTCTTTCTCGTTTGTCAGTCAACTACCATCCTGTCTATAGTCCCTTTAAATGGAGGATAAAGAACCGTCAACTGGGTTCTAATATAATAGCTAGCCAGTGCATAATTACCGGGTTCCTATATCAGTATATATGTTGTATGATATAGGACCGGATAGAGAATGGGATGTGAAAAGAACTACAGAGTTAGAAGAAAAAAATGGAATAAATATAAACTTGAATGATGATGCAAATATTCTTAATATTATACTTGTTCATAGAGCATGTCGATTCGCAGGTTAGTGTTGGACATACCTAACCTGCAAACAGGCATTCTCTGAGAACGAGATTACATGCACACTAGATGTGAATTTAAAAAAAAGCAAATGTAGAACATTGTAAGTTTATTTAATCAGTAGTTTACTACTGCATGATGCGGATATTATTGTGCAGTTTGAGCTTTAAGCATATACTTTGAATTCCGAGTTGAAATATTACACTTTCATCGGTTGAAAGAGAACAGGATGGTTAATTTCCAGACCAATGTATATTTAATGGAACGTATATATATATATATATATATGTGCCTAATGTTAAAAGAAGATATAAAACCGAGTCAATTAACCTAGTCAATATATTTAACCCTTCACTGCTGCCTTTACAAGTCAAAGACGCCAGGTTACGAAGAAATAAGATATTGAACCCTGAAATCGGTTGTGTTCTTATCGCTCGTGATTTTCTTCAGTGTTCTACCAAAGTCAACAAGAAAAACTGAATGAAAATTACTGACCTTTTTTCCACAAACGAGTACACACAAGATTTTGAAGAATTACATATATAGCTAACGCCATATCAACCAGAAACAGTCAGATAAACGATCAGCTCATTATCTATAGAATTATATACTTTCTAATTCTTGCTATAGATAGCTAAAAACTCTGCCTATTGGCACTTACTGCACCAATAAAGGCATTTTGAAGTAATTATACTGAAAATTCGCCAAGTATGGCGGCGGCCTGTGGTTACGGAACTGAAATGCATGGATGACAAATAAAGTGAATATTTGAATATTTTTAATTAATGACGAGTACCGTTTAATCTTGAGGCATGGACAATGCCAACAAGTTGAAAATTTCCAGAACAGAATATTTTCTAGGCCAAATGCAGCATAGAATATTGTTGGTACATATCTCTATGCTTATGAAAAAATGAGTAATCCAAAAATTATCATGCATGATTAATACGTTGTTAGTGAAAACATCTAAGGGTAAAGACTACATAATAATATATTATATATACAACAACAACAACAACAACAACAACAACAACAACAACAACAACAACAACAACAACAATTTTTATTCCAACCATAATAGATTATTTACAATATATATACAGTATATTTTCACTGTTTTGTTGATTTACTAGGTTGGTATTGGTAAAAACCTAGAAAACCATAGGGGCTTATCAAGCTAGGCGATAAAATACTCCGAGACAATATTAAAGTCCTTAGAATATTAAATATTAAGTTTTATCGGTCGGCTAGAATAGTGTACAAAAAGCCATTAAAGCCCAATGGCAATGGTAAGAGACCCAAGGACCTGACATTACAGTACATGAGAGATATTCTATGAAAATTAAGACACCAGATTATGGTGAATTCTGTCCATTTAATTCTATATAGTCTATGCCCAGTGGAATGTTTAGCCTATAACTATAGCCTGGAATTTTAGTTCTTTAAATTGCTCTTGGAATAGCTTTGCTAGAGTTCTTTGCACGCCTCCTTCGGTTGACTTAAATTGATTCTCATGCAAAGGAGAAATTCGTGGAACATCAAAGACAAAATGTAGCCATCAGTTTGACAATAAAATAACTATTTTATTCTACTAATCTTATTCTCCCTGCAAACCATAGGCGGCGGAACGGGAGTGGGTTAAGGGGGCTAAAGCCCCCAAAAATAAAAGGGAGGCCAAAAAATGGATAAAATTCGAAATTTTGAAGTTTATATATAAAAATTGTGCAAATTTAGAGGGAAAATTCAGGAAAGATAAAAGAAAACCGGGAATGTATTAAAGGTGTACAGTTGGAAATATGTTAGGTCCGGAAAATGTTTTGCTTCCCCCCCCCCCCCTCCGCGTTGCCAACAATCAGTCCGGGAAAATTTTTTAATGTCGGACATTTTATGGGAGCCTAGCCCCTCCAGAATAAAAACTGTTCCGCTGCCACATCTGCAAATAGAGTTTTAACTGTTAAGGTGCAGTTAAAATAACTCGAATCCTTGACATAATGTAACATGTATGCAATATTGCATAGTTTAAAACATATATAGACAAGAATATTAGCAAACGTTTATATCGTTTATCACCGCAAAGCATGATGGCAATCATCTAAAGCAGTGAACAGCATATACTGCAATATTATACTACAGCAAGAGCGTACTGGGTTTTATCTTATGTTGATTTCTTTCAAATCAGAATACATGCGTATATTTATATATGCGAATGCTCAGTATATTCCCTCCCTAGTTCAAAGGTCAAATTGCGTCGATCTGTCATATATGTACCCCATCTATAGGACACTTAATAGCACTAGGCACATGATAAGCACGACCAGTTTTAAACGTGCCTTCAAGATTTTGAAACTAAAAAAACAAAATAGAGAATATAGGGTAGCCAGTAGGGGACATTTAACTCGAAATCATGAAAGCTATATATATGCTATAATAATTATAACTAATTATAATAACATATATTTATTGTAATCACTGAAAAATGAAAGAGCCTCGAGATCTTCAGCTAACTAGTCGGTCCTTGTCATGCATAATAAATTTTTTTCGTAGTAGCAAGATCGAGCGTTATTGACCCTGACTTCGCAAATATACGGGTAGTTGTTAGGTGACAACTGCATGAAGTTTAACTTCCTGGAAGTTTGAGCTGAGACAAATCTTGACACAAATCAGAAAAACCGGATAACCTCTGTGACATTACCATGTTGCAGACCAGATGCAGAAGTGTAATATACAACTTCCTGCCGACTAGTATCTAATTAAGCAGCAGAATACATAAAAACACTCAGTCTAGTTCACAATTTTTATTTAAGAACTTTACAAATCAAAGAAGCCAGGTCACGAAGAAACATGAAATCAGTTGTGTTCCTATCACTCGTGATTTTCTTCAGTGTTCTACCCAAGTACAGTCAACAAACATTTTGGAGAAAACCAGCATTGCCATCAGATCCAAATGCTAACGTTTACCAGAGTAAGTTAATAAATAATTTTCACTCAAGTATTTTATCGTTGTGGAAGTTTGACTGTCACAGTGTGCATGCCTGTTGAAAGCAGTGCAAGTCCAGTTATCTTTCCCAGTCCAGTCTGAACGGGGGTTTTATACTGTGGAAAACTATAGCCACTGAACCATATACACAATCAAATTACGTTTTCTAGAACTGCAAAACATCCCTTCTCCACAACAAACCGCACAGAAGATTTTGGCCAATTTCATAGGCTTTCATCCAGGAAGAGTAGGGAAAAGAGCAATTACTAAAGAGGATATTGTCATTATTATGGATGGATCAGCGTCAGTCGGTCAATGTGAATTTAACGAAGGACGAAAGGCGTTGACCCAAACGATAAGAATGTGCGAAGTAAAGGGGCTCCATAGCTGCCGATATGCTGCAGTCACCTTTTCGTCCGGAGCAATAGTCAATTTTAAATTTCTACCTTCCGCAATAGCAAGTCAAAAAATGAGCGCAATCACCTATCCTTCGAATTCTGGCGGTACAAATACACAAGCAGGATTGGCAGAAGCAGTGAAGCTATTCCTATCAGGTTGGTGATCATTACACAAAAGTTTAGTGTTGTTCCAGGTTTTTCCCATTGAATGGTTCAATAGGTATTTTTAGTACAGTTTTGCACTCAGTTTGCTTCTGCAGAACTAGTGCATCATTTTGTGGAAGGAGATTGTTGGAATCCTTAAATGTTTTAATACAGGTCCTTGACCTGATTATATTGGTTACATTGGTGGGGAACTGCTTGTGCAGTTTTACTAGGAATATTACAATGAAGCACGCTGTCGCATGTATTTATATGACTACGCCTTACAATACACTCTCCAGGCAAATGGCCATCCATATATATAATTCATTTTAAAATTCCAATAGAATTCGAGATCAACTCACTTTTGCCTAAAATATTGTTCGAACTTTGTTTATATATATTTCGGTATACCGAAACTTGTTAAACTTTAATTGAAATCGATTGTAATAAGTAATGGGCCGTCAATGTATTATGTGATATGTTTCTTTTATTAAGGAAGCCGACGCTCTTCAAAATTAAAGGTTCTTCTCACGACTGATGGACAGTCGAATATAGATAAATATCTAACAATACCCAATGCTAAGAAGCTCAAAGATATGGGTGCGGAAATTTTTGTTGTTGCAGTCGGTGACTATATCTATGGAATAGATGAAATGGCTAAAGTGGCTTCATATCCACCAGAGAAATACGTTTACCGAGTAAAGACAAACAGCGCCCTTTTATACGTTTTCGAATTGGCTTGGGAGAAAGTGAGAAGTGGTTACAAGGCAAAACCGTATGCATCTCCATGTAGTTGAACGTACTCCTGACGGACTGACGGATTGATTAATTTAATTAAAGCTCCAGTAAATTTACAAATGTGATTATAATGTTGATTATAAGTATAGACTGAACAAAAGTAGATCATATATGTCATATATGATGGTGCATAAACTTGTAATGAGGAAATAATAATTAAAACAGTAATCCATGCAATCTTGAATTTGAAAGTGCTGTGAATACTCGGTTACAATTGTATCGCGTTACAGGCTAGATTTTTGAAAAGGAACGAATTATTGTAATTAAATACAAAATAAAGGAACACGTTCCTTTTGCTTTAACGAATGAAAATTACAAATTCCTTTGATCAAATAATTTAATAACGCTTTCAAAAACGCTTTGATTTCTATTTTTGTTTTTTAAATCCAGAAAATTTTCAATAACTGATTCAAAGTGCTGGCCATGCAGTGGAAGTTGTTCAATTGAACTCTAATACTTCATGTAGTGTATTGATATAGTGAAAAACATTGCCGCCATGCTTGAACGACTACGAAATGCTAATATGAACGATTGAACGTCGAATGCTATAATATGGTAGACCATGTTGTAGACAACGACTTTGTCGATTTAGAGAATATAGAGCCAGCCGGGCCCAGTGAACCAGAGTCAACTGTAAGTAGAGAAGAATCAGAAGACCTTCAAGACCAAGAAGGCAGTCAATCTGCCGCTGTGCAGGATTTCAACGCGGGAAAAGAGGAATCTCATGCATGGCCCGACTAATACATAACCTCTCGTTCGAGTGCCTTTTGTGTAAACCGAAGAAAACCGTGCTTTCCACATATATTACATCACACTCCAACCTTCCGTGCAGCATGCGAGCCTCATTTTAGCACTGGTGGTCTGATACTGAGGCCCCCGAAGCAGTCTTAGTGACAAACATGTTGAAGCATGCCTCCTCTAACTTTAATTAAGTTTTTTAAATAGATTCAAAACATTATAATTGATGGGTGTATAACCGTTGAGTTGTTTAGTCGTTTTTCTTCACTTTACGAGCACTGAACATCACAAAATCACGATGTGTAATTTGTAATTAATTACATTTTTAAATGGTAATTTTGTTACTGTAATGAATTACTTTCCTGAAGAAGTAATTGTGATCAGTAATTAATTACATTTTAAAGACAGTGATTTTATTTGTAATTAATTTCTTTTTGGACGGTAATTTTGCAGCACTGTCAGAATTTCTCAGTTTTAAAATCGTTTATCCTTCTCACGCAAACGAAAACCATGCACCCTCCTGCACAAGGACTTGATGAATTGGGCTATTCAGGGCTAGAGTTCAGGGCTGTAGTTCATGATTAAATTCTGAGGCGTTTCACTAAAACGCAACAGAAAGATAAGCCAAAGTATCTATCAGTAGAGAACTTCTGAATCTGACTATTCAAAAACATCAAATTTAGGACAGGACCACGCCTCCCTCTGAGTTTTTAGATTTCCACAAATACCATACCTGAAACGGAATATTTAAGATATGGGACATAAATTATCAGTTAAAGGTTGGATAGGTAGTAAAAGTCCCCTTCTTAAAGTATTAAGATGTTTTATCCTGTAATTTCCATAATTTGGACGGTGTACCGACGCTTTTCAAAATTGAGGATCCTTCTCATGACTGATGCATGTCCATAGAATATAGCCTAGATAGTCGAATATTGATAAATCTCTAACAAAACTCAATACTAAGAAGCTCAAGGATATGCGTGCGCAAATTTCCGTTGTTGCCGTTGGTGACCATATTAATAGTACAGTAAATTCATGTCTCGCCGTTTACACATTATACCGACATTAACATTCAATGCAGTAAATGATCTTTTAGTTTTAATGTTCTTGCTTGTTCATGATATTAGTTAACAAATGACACGAATGTTGGAAATTTCTTGATAATTCCAATTTTATAAGCTAAATGAATAACCTCAATAGAGCGTTTGCACATGACGTCACAGCCGCCATGTTGGTGTTCCAATTCAAAATAATCTTCTCTGTTAATGTCATTTATCTCGATTTTCAAAAAGCGTTTGATAAAGTATCTCATCGTTTATACTGCACTATAAATTAAGAAAACATGGTTTTCATGGTTCTATGCATAAAGCTACGTTTACACGCTACGATTTGTCGGGTACGATTCGTATTCTGGCGTATTAAAATGAGTGCTGGCGCCATAATTCATTGCCGTTTCGTTAAAAAGAAATTTCAAATGTTGCCAGCTTACGCGTGTCTCAATGACATACGCCAGAAAACGAATCGTACACGATTAATCGCAGCGTGTAAGCGTAGCTTTACTGGTTTAACAGTTACCTCACTGAAAGGGTTCAAAGGGTAGTTCTTAAAAGACACTATTCTGAATGGCTTGAAGTGACCTCTGGTGTGCCCCAGGGATCTATTCTGAGCCCACTACTTTTATACTGTTTATTAGCGACCTTCCTGAACAAGTTCACCCACCAACAGAAATGGCATTATATGCCGACGATTCAAAATTATACAGATTGATTACATTTTTTGCCGATGCTGGAAGTTTACAGAACAATTTAAACGAAGTAAGTTCTTGGACTGAAGAGTGGCATATGAAATTTAACACTAACAAATGTAAAGTAATGCCGATTGTCGAGAAAGAAAATCCAAACAACCCATGATTATAAACTGGGCTATGAAACTCTGAATGCGTTAAAACCACTAAAGATCTAGGAATAACTGTAAGCGAAGATGTTATTTGGGGAACACATATTTCAAAGATTACAGCAAAAGCAAATCGTACACTTGGGCTTATTAAGCTAACGTGTAAAGATATTGAAGATCAAAGTATCTTCTCTATCTTACATTAGTCAGGCCACAGTTGGAATTTTCATCAGAATTGTGGTCTCCTTCAGAAGTGAAATATCAACTTATGTTAGAAGGACGCAGGGCTACAAAGTTTATCCTAAATTACCCTGATTCATGATACTGACTATAAAGAACGTTTGAAATATCTTCATAAATAAAAATTTAAAAATTTAAAAATTTAAAAGAAATACAGTATTTCTTCTAAATTTTCTAATTTTTATTTTTTTGAGTTTTATCCCATGAGTACAAGACCTTGTGTTCTTACTGTCCCAACCATTAATTCAAAGCAATTAGAGTTGTCAAATAACTCAAATTACTACAATACGTTATAGCTAATTTGAATTTGAAAGGGTCCAGGTATTTTTATACACATATATAGGTCAAATATTAGTCAGTATATACATGTACTGGGTAAGCTGAGTAATGTGAAAAAATTATAACGTTATTAAGGAATTTAATATTCTTGTATGGTAGCGCAGGAGTCCATGGGAAAATTGATCTTTACTGGAAAATTCTTACTTGACTAACTCGTATGACCCATGCAGAGCGTATGACCCATGCATGCATGCAAAGCCTTCATCGAGAGATCGACTGCATGGGACCAGCAGCTCAATTGAAGAAAACATGTTCATGGCCTATACTTAAAGGGCCCGTTTACAATTACAATTGTTGTTGCGATTTCTACAGTAGTGCGATTTTCTTCTTCTGGTGCATGTGAACGAGTAAATAAGTTATGAATGTTCTGAGTATATATGTCTCATTGTTGTATATTCATAACTCATCCACTCCTACATCCATCAGAAGAAACTCGCACCTAAAATTGCAAGTGTAAACGGGCCTTCAGTATGCAAATTGATATTTATTACAGAAGATTCAAAAACATAAAGATGTAACTGATAGGTGTTTAAGGTTTGCTCATCCGCTGCATATTTATGTTAAATGCCTGCATGTGTTAAACGATATAGTATAGAATTGCATATATAGGTTAAGATTCCTAAACAAGATCAGAATATGCATGTGCGATTATGGCATGAGAATATAAGTTATAACTAAGAGAATCATATAAGATCTGAACTAGACTTCTCTTTGTTTTTATTTGATATGATATATATATATATATATATATATATATATATATATATATATATATATATATATATATATATATATATATATATATATATATATATATATACAGCTGTTTCAAAAAAGGTTGTCTTTCAAAAATCTCAGATCAAACCTTAAACTCTAAGCGCGCAAGGTGTAATGGGTAACTTCTTTAAGTTAGTTAAAGCCTATAAAACGTGCGAATTTTGCATTGTAACTATAGCAAGACAGATAATAAGCACTTAATTGTACAACTAGCAGTGTACTAGGATTATTTTCCCAAGCAAAAGCCCTAAAAAGAAGTTACCCATCATTCTTTGCAGGCTTAGAGTTTAAGGTTTGAGATTTAGAAGGACAACCTTTCTTGAATTAGCTGTACAGTCTAAATCTCTGAGTGTTGTAATAACACCAAAAACGGTGTAAATTCCTGCCTCTGTATTTACACCATAGTAAGTGTAAATTTACACATTCGCAAGTGTTAATTTACACCAATGAGTGTATTTTTACACCAAGTCGGTGTAAATTATCTTGCCTCTGTATTTACACCAAAAAGTTGTAAATTTACACTTGTGGTGTAAATATGAATGGTAGGAATGCGACTACCTGAAAATATTAGGAGAAACTCAACGTTTTGAGCGAATTAAGTCCTTCGTCGGATTAAGTCCTTCGCTCTTCCCCAAGGAGCATTATAAAATATGTGTCTGTACCAAGTTTACATCACTGTCCTTCTGTATAACAGTTGAAATGTTACATGAAAACATTCTAACCTCCCGTAGTTGTCGCTAAACATGAAATATTTATCTTTTATTAGACATCTTATGAAAAAGTTGAATAAGAAATTAAACAATTGTGCATGCATTAGTATTACAGTTAATTAGCATGAATGCTGGTCACATCAATAACTCTATCAATTTATACAGTAAACAGTACTGTTTTGGAAGATGCAGTACATACTACATACAACAAGAGATTAATGTTTTATGTTTAAGAGGAGATTTTTTACAAAGTCGCGTATTTTTTTCGAAAAGCGCTCAAAACTTAGCGACCAGGCCTTCGCGAAAAAAATGCTGCGCCGCCATCTTGGTTTTAAAAGTTTCTCAAAATTTGCGAAGAAAAATAACAGAAATTTACTTGATTTTTGGCTGTGTCACGAGGCAAAACATTGCCAAATATAAAGAAACATAACATGGTAAGTGTAATATCGTACTTAGTAGCTGTTATTTAAATTATTATTATGTAAATATGCACATGTATCGGACTCAGGAGTGAGCATAATTTAAAGCTATTATAATATTAAACTGATTGAAAGTGATTGCTTTCGTGAGTTTCGTCTTTGGAATGATGGCCTACCTGTTTATATTAAACTCGTTAATATACAATAGGTGCATGCAAAATTTTAAAGCACTATTTTTGAACTTTCAAGGAAGAATTTGAACATTTGTAAATATAATTCATTTACTTCGAATCAGTTTTTTTTTGCTCTGGTTTAATACTGTTGCATATGTCCATATTATAAAAAAAGAAAAAATTTCACTGCAAGTGCACATAGCATGCATATTTGTAATTTTAAACTTCATACTGTTTTGTACACATGCAGCTGTTGCAGTGCTTCGTGTATACCATGCTAGTCATACAATATACTAAAGTAATTGGAAACCACAAATTCATATGGGATGTAGGTGACAATTACAAGCGGAAATAATAGTTGAAACAACCTACTTTCCCTCATGCATATAACTTGATGTGGTGCGAGGGATACAGGGGGGTAAGCCCCCTGGATATTCACCCCACCTATTTTGCCACTTGAACCCCACTAGAAATTTTTCCACCCCTCCTTTAAATCAATCAATTGTTTTGTAAAACAAAGTTGCCTAAAAATGTTCATACAGATTTTAAATCAATATGGATAGTGAAAAATGTAATAAGTGATATATGTCCATATGACTAGACATGATCTCTCACATGATTTTCCAAGAAAAAATACAAATATTGGGCTTTTCAAGTAAATAAACACTGTGAATATTGTAATTTTGGTTGATTTTAAAAATGTGAAAAAATGACCTTGGACCTACCACTCAAATTTGAATCAAATTATACTTTTTGCAAACTAATATACCCAGGCCTCATCCTTAAAGAGAAATTAGTTTGATCAGAAACAGTTTTGGGCTAATTTTCAACAGTTAAATTTGATGGCAAAGAGTAGACTGTTAAAAGTCCATTTCTGCCAAATAGTACAGTACCAGTACTTGATGGATTCTGAGAATAAAAATGTTCATACAGATTTTAAATCAACATGAATAGTGAAAAATGGAATAAGCGATATTTCCGTATGACTAAACATGATATCTTACATGATTTTCCAAGAAAAAATACAAATATTGGGCTGTTCAAGTAAATAAACACTGTGAATATTGTAATTTTGGTTGATTTTAAAAATGTTAAAAAACGACCTTGGACGTACCACTCAAATTTGAATCAAATTATACTTTTTGCAAACTATCAGACCCAGGGTCTATTGTGAAGAACATTATAGTTAGATCAGAAGCAGTTTTGAATGATTTATAACTGCTGAAATTATGTTTTACCAATGAACCAATGGTGTAATTTAAGTCACATTTAGCAAGAGCAGTAAAAACTAAATTCAAACCTATTTAGCGTTTGGATTTCAAAATCGATACATATATTTACACAAAATATATCTTAAAAAAACAGAACATATACTTTAGTTCAATATTTCCATCTAGTTTTAAAGCTATAGCCAAACATGCTGCATTTAATCACCTTTCCAAATAAATCAGTAAATTTTGAAATCGTTTGTAAAAATCTGCAAAATTAATGTTGGACAAACACGCTAGTTCTGTTAATATATGATTTGCTGTAAGTTGAGTATGTCAGGTTTGTTTTTAATATTTTCTAGTCTGATCAGAAGCAGGTTATTGGCTAGAAAATTAGTATAAATTCAACCATACCTTCCAAGGTTCCATGACAGTCCAGTCAAAACAAATGCCACTAAACATTGCATCGCTTGTAATTCTTTGTTTATTGTTAATTCATCTTGTTAAATCCATCTCCTTACATCTTGAAGATTAAATTGACAAATTATCTATCAAAAATCTCCCCATCCAGTTGTCATTTGCGTTAAAAACTGCATCATTTTCAAACGACACACTCCTCGACACGAAACGACGCCGCCATATTGCCAGCATTGTTCTCTCGCTTCTCAGCATTCCGGCAATCTGATTGGTTTTGAGCGCCAAATGCGCGAGTTTGTAAAAAATCTCCTCTTAATGTGCATCATGCAACCATTCACTTTTACACTATTGCCATGTTAATCGTCATTATAGTGCCGCATATAAACATATCCAAAGTCTAAAATTGCCTATATTTTCATAGCATCTTGTTTTATCCAAGGCATTAATATAATGATATTACTTGCTGAAGCTAGTGATTAGCTATATAGGCACTTAATTTACAGTGCTTGTATGTAACCTCTTTACCAATGAGTCTCTTTACCAATCAATCTCTTTACCAATGAGTCTCTAATTTACCAACGAGTTTATCTTTTTTTACACATCAGTCTCTATCTTGTGTTGTGTGGTTTGGAATAATTCACTCAAAAACATTTCATCCAATGTATATATTATGGTTGCATGTCCATATATGGTGTGTTCCACATTAACATTTAATATCTAGCTGTATAAGCTTTGTAGTAGTAAAAAAAATGCCACATTCATCCACAATATTCATTTTATTGATAAAAATTCATTAATAATTCATGAGCAATTCAGCGAATGATCATCACCTATTTGATCACAAGATGCAATTTGGATAACCCGTGAAACTTGATGAAAGTCACTAGTGTTTTCATCAAATATCTTAATTACTGGCGCATGCAAAATTACTTGAATAGAATTCCTAATGACGTTATGCTTGGTTAAGAATTCTATTCAAATCAGCAAACGAAAACATTCTGTTACGTCTCGATTCATTTGAGAAGCCATATAAACAACTCGAGCTCGTATCTCACCGGGATATCCCGGCAAACACTCGAAAACAATGTATGAAAACACTCGCGCTTCGCGCTCGTGTTTTCATACATTGTTTTCTCGTGTTTGGATATCCCGGTGAAACACTCGCTCTCGTTGTTCATATATTACTCCATTTTACCAAATTCCTCAGCCATTTCCTGAAGAAATTAATGCTAAACAGAAACTATTTTTAATTCTGGTGAAAGAGTCATTCCGTTATTGCATGTGTTTATATTCTAGCAGAAATCGAGAAAAACAACTTTGTAATAAAGCAATAAAGTCACCGCACAAGAAGCCATTTTTGAAAGCGTGTGCGTACAAGAAACACTGTAACACTATAAGTGAACATGCCGAAAACATGAAATTGCTGAAATTTAATTGAACTGATATTCGGATATTTTGTTTTATTTATTAAAAATTTATACTGAAACAATTATTCGCCTCAGGCTCAGTGATTACGGTAAATATTCACCTCGACTTCGTCTCGGTGAATATTCACCGGTAATCACTTCGCCTTCGGCGAATAATTGTTAATTGTTTAATGGTTGACTATTTTATAACTTCCAGATACGCCTGGGACTCTACATATGATAATCTTTTCATTATGCCAATACCAGTACCTCCAGAAACAATGGACAAATCAGTCTCAAGTTAAAATTATACGAGTTCTGTATTCTGGAACAGTAAACAGCTTGGCATGTTGCATTATAATGAAGAGTCTAATATAATGAATAGTATCGTTGGAGAAGTGCATTGCTCATTAGTTATGATATAAAAGGTAGTTTGGTCAAAGAATCACAACTGGCCTGACTAATAACAATGTCCTATTTGAATAAGTGTAATATCATTAAAATACTTTCATGCTTGTATTGCTTGATAGGTTGATGTGTAGACTGTAGAATGACACATTATTGAAATCAATAAAGGTTTTTAGAACTTGCAATTCATTTTATGCCACCGCTGGGAGGTTGTGCAGGGCCCAACGTAAAAGTTTTCCAGGGGAACCATATGACATCATTACGTTTTCCCAGGGGTCCCTAATGGTCGAGCCACATGACCAGCGTTTACCAGGGCTACGTCGCTGCCTTCAATTCGCGACTAGCCCTGGGTACGAGATTGGCTCAAAAGGGGCCTCCAAAGCGACAAAGATATTTGTGTCAGTGGCAGATAATATGCAATAAAATGTAATATATTGTAAAACACCTCTTCTCCCATTTAAATTGTTACTTTTCTGATCCGGAGGGTGAAATAATTGTATGCTAGAGGTGAAACTCGAAGACCAACAGAGTTTATCTCCGAAATTCTTCAATCTTCCCTGTGAATGTTGCATTTCAAGCTTTTCTAAAAGTACGGCGATCGATCAAATGGATCAACACTTTCTGTGGAAAGAACGCAGTGAGATTTGTTCGCATGCGACGTTCAAAATACTTGGATAATATTTAATACATGGTTTAATAGTACTTTGTTGCGACTTGCGAAGCAAATGGCATTTAAATTCAACTCTTGTATAATGAATAAAAGTTGGTGTAGTAGAAGGACAACTTATACAAAAGATATGAATACTTCAGCTTCAAACTAGGGACAAGTTCATTGACATCCCTAATATATGGACATCGATATTTCAACAATATGTAAATATAATTATTAAATATATAAAAAGATTGCTGTTATATGTATACAAGTGTTGTGTTGCGGTATTTGTGTTTTTGACCCTCTAAGTGGCAATGCAACCAAATGATCCTTGACAATGGTAGTGCATTTTTGTACTTGCTGCATAGTATCACAACCAAGAATTGTTTTAGAGGAAGAGAATGTTAGGGTTTGTAATCCAAGTGATTATATACATTTTAAGACCTGACCAGGAACGACTGCGAAAAATGCAGCACAAGGTCCTCTGGTAGGAATTGAACCTACGGCTCTGCGATTCCGGTGAAGCACTCTAACGAACTGAGCTACAGAGGCCAGCTGTTAAGCTGTAACCGTAAGTTCATATATATAGGTAATCGGGTGTGCGGGTTGTGTTAAGGTTGACTTGAATGACGTGGTTTCTTGCACTTCACTTGGTGGAATTAATATTGGAATGTTAGGGTTTGTAATCCAAGTGATTATATACATTTTAAAGGTAGATTACAGTCCCTTCTACGCATGGGCGGGCTTTGTTTACGTTTTTTGTTTTGATCCACATTAATTATATAAGATGAAGTATATGACGAGTTCAAAGTAACATTCCACATAATTTGTGACCGAGGAGTGCAATGTTTGACAATATTTCGCTTCATTTCTTGTACATTCCTACACTGGAAATTTTTGTACACAATACTACCATTTTCGAGCTTCCGTGAAGCGTGCATTTATAACTACGTTTCAAAACGTTTCTTCAGCATGAGTTTGTGAATCATAACTTTTTGTTATGCAATAATAACTTTTGTGGGCGTGGTGTCAAGCACATTGTTTTGCACGCGAAAATGTCTTCTTATTTTTCACACGGACTGACTCTTTACTGACAAAATTGCTATAGCAAGCGAAATAACAGATTTATAGCACCTTCTGGATATGTTTACGTAACAAACCTCTGTAATACAAGTGTCCTTTTGAGTTTTGACGCCGAAATTCAAAGTTTCGCATGCAAAACAATATGTTTTACACCACGCCCACAGAAGTTATTATGTCAAAACAAAATGTTTTAGGAGCGAAATAAAAAGTTTTGAATGACAAACTCATGCTGAAGAAACGTTTTAAAACCTAGTTATAAATGCACGCTTCACGGAAGCTCGAAAATGGTAGTAACACAATCTTATACTGTAACTGTTTAACTGCAAACATCGTGAATAAAGTTATAAAAAGGCCGCTTTGAACCTTTGTGACTTGCTATATCAACAGCTGGAGAGGCGAACCGAAATCCCGAAGATGTGAGTTCGAATAATTTGTGTTTACCTTTGGAGTTTGTGTCTCATCATGAAAATAGTTAATGCGGTATCAATCCCTCGAAACATGTTGCCACTGTTGTTGTTGTGTTATTGTCATTATGACAGAAGCGCTTGGGGAAAGCTTTTCGCTTGACGAAATTCGAAACAAGTGTGATTGAGAATGTGGCTGCAGTTCCTAGCTGTCTTCGTGGCAAAGTCAAGGGCGAAATTTGTGACCGTGCAAAAGCTGGATAAACAGCTTTTGTTCAAGCTCGTGCGCGCTTATGGAGATGATTCGTTATAAACAACAGAAGAGTTCAATAGATTGGCATGCAGTGACGAGAGCACGAGACGCTAAGATTATATTCAACTTTTTTGTGTTATAAAAATGTATGTTTTGAAATTATGAACTGGAAGTATGAATTCATTGATATTACTCTCATATTGACACTAAATGATGATATTGTTGTGACACTGAACGATCTAATAGTAATATTAACTTCAACAATTCTGCTCAATCTAGTGATCACGTTAGTTGATCATGTCTCTTCAAGACAGAGAACAACTGCTGAATATATGCTTGTTTCGCTCTATATCAGAGCTCATCAGAATGCTCAGGAAACACTGATGAAATTTTTATTTACATCAACGAATCTTTCTTTTTCTTAACAGATTTATTGGGTTATATGAATATATGATAATTAAAAAAAATTATTATTATTAGGCATGAATATGACTCAAGGGCTTATGCCCCCCTGAAAATACTGAATATACTAAATATAATTACAGTTTGTCACATGAACAGTCAGGTAAGCACCATTCACATAAGAACCGGTTTAGGCTAACTTGGAAAAAATCTAGGTTCTTATTATATGCAGGGTTTTACTGTATTGTCTGATTTCATGTCACAAAACAGGCCATGGCATCTTGTTCTGACAATTTATATATATGGGATGGTGCCACTCTTTGTGACACAAGATCAGGCAATCATAGTACAATAAGAACTGGCTTGTGTTTCAGATTGCTTTCTGTAGGAGGCAATCCATCTAGGAGAAAGAAAGCTCGGATTTCAAACCCCCAGACCCCACCTTTGGACAATACATGTAGTGACTACATGATCATTAGAGCTTGGAAATTAGGTTAAATTCTTAAAGAAAAGCGACTCATTTTTGGTATGTGAGGTATAATTTACATGTATATACATCTATATAAATTGTGCACAAATTATCTAACTAATAGCTGTGTGTAAAGCTATACTGTAAAGCTGCTAACACTTTATTTATCTCAATGACATTTTCAGTGTTCTGGATCATTTTCATTACTTTGTGAAGAGTTTATTCTCTTTGATTCATATGCATTTTTAGATTTGACTGGTCTCCATGTGATAAAATTAGAACCTGAAATGCTAGCCTAAACAGATTCTTATATTGGATGTCTAAATAAAAAAATTAGCTTGACAGACCCTTTTATAGGTTCTTATATGCAAGCTTTTACTTACAATAAGGGTGGGAAAATTTACTAGTAATTATTAGTTGAGTTTGTTTACATCATATAAGTTTTTGTGATCAAAATCTTTTATAAACTAAATGTCTTAGGTGTGTTTATATGGAGGCAAGCCAGCCCGATTACCTGAGCTAGGTGGCTTTGCCTAGCTTATTTCATCATGTAGCAGGCTGGCTCACGAAAACAAATCATCGCGAATGTCATGGTTATAACCGTCACAATTGTTCACAGAGGCATTAATTTATAAAATTATAGATCAAAAATCTGTTGAGAAAGTCTTATTTACGACAATTAGTACAATATATTCGTATTCAGT